AATCCTCGCAGATGAACAAAACAAACTCAAGTGCGTGTCGTTATTTTAGGCTAATCCTGCCATTGTTTACCAATAGAGAACGAGGATAGATGCAGCAGTGAGAAAAAAAAAACATAGATATGAATAGAATGTACAAGTTCAAAGGAAAGAAGAAAAAAAACAGCAGTGAGAACGGAATTTTTTTTTTTTTTTTTTTTTTAAGTCTGCGGCCTTTCTGTGGGCCATAAATAGATTAGGCTGCGTCTATTTAGGAAAACTTTCACATTTGCAACACAATAGTCTGAGGTTTACCACACATCAGAGCTGGAGTGGAGGAGGTAAACACTGACTGAGCTCAGAGATGCTGGGGGAAGAAAGGACTAAAAAGCAAACAAAAAAACCCAGACAAACGCGCCGGGTCGTACGGCTCCAGGACTCCTCGCTGTCCCGGGAGTTTTGCAACAGCTTCAGCCACAGTTCTGGGTTCTGGTTCAGGTCAGGATTCTGCTGAATGTATGGTTTTGTTGCTGCTGCTGCTGCTGCTGCTGTGGGGCGGCCTGGGAATGTGGCAGAGAAAACACCGGAGACGAATGAGAAGAAAGGAGGAAAAATGTGTCTTTGTTTGTGGAGGCAGGAGGAGAAGGAGGGAAAAACCAGGAGAAATGTGAGGTTTTCTTTGAGTGAACATGGATGTGCTCACGCAGCCCCCCCGCGGGGGGGGAGGAGTGTTTTTTTTTTTTTTTTTTTTTTTTTTTTTCCCCTCCCTCCACCCCTGCTGTTTGATTGGTGGTTTGATGTCTTTCATGATGAATTGATGGAAGCTTCTGTCCTGTGGTTGGTTGAAGGGTTAATCCATCAATAATCTGCCCAGATGCACAGTAAACATTGTTCTTATCTCACTTCAACTATAACTTTTCCTTCTTCATTAATCTTGGTTTAAACCTAGACGTTTTTTCAGGAAATTAATCTCAGAATTTTAGAACGGTAAAAACAAAAAAAGATCCTGTGACGTTCATTTAAAGTTATTGAGTTGTTTTTGTTTTTGGTTTTTTGTAAGACAGTGCATTTTTATATTACTTTGGCTTCATCTCTGTTTTTTTTTTGGCTAACATTTTAGCTTTTTGAGCTAGCCTTAAGCTACGTCTGAGCTAATCTTCAGTTTCTTGAAGTTAAGTTAATCTGATTTTACGTTTTTGTC